TCCAACTGGCTGCTTCAGCACCAGGATTCTTCTGTCTTTTGCAGCCGCTGGAATGATATCACCATAAACCCGGCGAGCTTCCTCCGCAAACCACTCCAGAAATGAGGCAGAATACAGGATTTCACCTTGTGCTTCTTTCAGAGGCTTCCCCTTTGATTAAATCAGATTGAAGATACACTGTAAGCAGCAGACTGAAGCAATAAAAACAAATTCAAGTCATTTCAGAGTTTCTGTTCTTTTCAGAGTACTTTAAAATCCCCTATCATGTACACTGCAATCTCTAAAAAGGATTAATGTGATTGCAGCAGCAATAGTTGTGCGGCTTCAATATGCTCTCATTGTGCAGTCAACATGTTTTATGTTGTGCCCAGATTCGTATCTGCCCGAGCCAAGGAGCTGGAATAGCAAATGTAGGATGTGTTTATTTACAAACTCTGCAGTTAGCTGCTATTACCATTCTGAAGAAATGCAGATAATGGCAGAATAGTTACAAATTTATGCCAGGGACATTTGTTTTGGGGAGTATTACTTTGGACTACCTCCAGGTATGATCCCATGGACTGAATGACCATTAGCAGCTGGGACACCACAAAGGAGCTGCTGAAGGACCTTCCAGCACGGTTTTATCCACAAGGATACCGGTCTGTGATCTCCCAGACTGCTCTGTGATGCAAACCAAAGCACACTGAGTGAACCCAACTTGCAGACTTGCTTTAACAGTACTGCAATTTTTTTTCTGAGTCAACGAAACTGACAGAACACAAACATTTCTGCCACGAAGACCATGGTTAAGTTGATGTATTCTTCTGCGCACCATGAAGCGCAACATGGGTCTGATTTCCGCTGGACTGTCAGGTACTGTTGTCATCAAAATAAGGCATTGTACGTACGTCAGAAATGTTTGAAACGTTATCCATTGACCTAACAGAGCGATGTGAATGCATGAAATATACCTGCTAGGCTCAGCTTTTTTAAGTAATTAAAAAAGCTATGGTGGCTAACTGGTGAAACGCAGACAGGGTGTTTTGGCGGCTGTCGGTTTTACTTCACGTCAATGTCAGCATCCCTGTGTTGCCTTTCCGAAAAGGCCGAACGCCAGCGCAGGGCAGGACCCACGTTCACAGGGGCAGCCGGCACCGCGCC